CTTTACTCATAACCAGTAAAGATTATAAGTATTCTGGAATGCATCACAGAGAACTAGAAGCTTTTCCTGCTCTTTAGCATTTATATTCTTTTGTTTTTTTAGAACCACTTTGTGTATTTCAAAGCTGAAGACAGTAATCTTTCAGTTCCTCCAAAGATACTTTCAAGAGGTCATCCAGTATTATGCCACTGGAAATTTCCAATTACTCATAACCAGTAAAGATTATAAGTATTCTGGAATGCATCACAGAGAACTAGAAGCTTTTCCTGCTCTTTAGCATTTATATTCTTTTGTTTTTTTAGAACCACTTTGTGTATTTCAAAGCTGAAGACAGTAATCTTTCAGTTCCTCCAAAGATACTTTCAAGAGGTCATCCAGTATTATGCCACTGGAAATTTCCAAAAGCTCAGTTAAAAAAATAGACACAGAGAATGAATGAATCATGGCTGATTATAGCTCCACTTCTACTCATACAGTAATTGGCTTTTAATGTTATTGTTTGCACCTACCATTTCCTTGTGATTTGGGTAGAATGTTTGTTCAATTAGAGGGAACTTCTCCACACCCAGAGTTTTGTATATGGACACCAGCTGGGCAAACTGTAAAAGAAAACAGAATAAAAATGCTGAAGGACCAAAACAAAATTCTACTGAAATGACCTCCAAACTGTCATTCTGCATCTTAATTGATACACTTCAAAAACTGAAGATCAAACACATATATGTTATGTTGCTTTATATTCAGCCAGATGGTGGTTCTTTTTATATACTAATGAAGTGCATATATAACCGCTAATCATTCGATAGCATATATACAGGTAATGTACAGTACACTAATACCTTATACTTGACATATCTTAAGTGTATTTGATGATAATGTAATTATATAAGAAATGTTAAATTTCTATAGCCCCTTCCATCTCAAGATGTTGAAGTAGTTCACAATTATCAACCAAGTAAGTGACTCAACACCTTTGTTCAATAGGTGCTTTTTCAAGAAAGGGAAACAGCGAGAGATGCTGATTTCTCAAGATTCCACAGGAGGTCTGGGTCTTAAACAAAAGAACATCCTTCCAATATCTTTAACAAGACAGATCCCAATTATTTAACAAAGTGTGTGCTATTTGAACTGTATGCAACAATCCACTTACCCACCACAGAAATGCAGTCAGCTCTGGTGTGGACTGCAGTAATTAACAGTGCAAATAATGGTATTCAGTAATTTAATAATTTAGGACAGAGAAATTCCATATTAAATATATAGTACTGGGAAATATCTATGGGCTGTATTATTACAGTTTTAAAAACAAAATCACTTGACATTACAGCTAAACACTGTGATGGGCAATAATTTTTGATGGAGGGCTATTACAAGAGTTTGCAAATTGGTCAAGGGCTGCACTCTTCCATGATATTAATGGAGGAGATGCAGGTCTGGGATGGAGGTTGGGTGCAGAAGCAGCTTGGGATTAGGTATTAGGGTGCAGAATGGCGTATGGGGTCTGGGAGGGAGTTTGGGTGAAGGAGGTAGTTATGACCTAGGTTAGGGGACTAGGGTGCAGAGGTTTGGGTTGTGACCTTGGGCAAGAGGGAATTGTGACCTAGGGAAGGGGATTATTGTGTAGGAGGTGGGTGGAGGCATTTGGGCTGTGGCCTAAAGCAGGAGGAGGTGGTGACTTGGGGGAGAGGACTGGGGTGCAGGGGTTTGGGTTGTGACCTGGAGCAGAGGATTGGGGTGCAGGTTCTGGGGGGATATGGGTGCAGAAGGGGGACAGAGGGTTTGGGTTATGTGGGCTAGGGAGGCAAGAGTGGAGGGTATAGGGTTGGGGGAGGGAGGGACTAGGGTAGGGTGCCAGAGACAGGCTCTGGCTGGAAGTCTCACCTGGGTGACTTCTAGCCAGCAGCCCAGAATGTTTGAAGCTGCCTTTCTGCCAGCCCCACCCCTGCACAGGTGGTAGGGGCCACGTGCACATGTAAATAACTATGAACTGGAGGGGAGGAGGGCGTGATGCTTCATGTGCTGACTGTTTTTCAAATAGGCAGCTCCCATTGGCCAGAAATCAGCCAATGGGATTGTGCTGAGAGTGTGGGCAGCTCATGAAGCCTCCCTGCCTCCTTTCCAGGCTCATGGTAGTGAAAGAGAAATGGCACAGCAGCCGCTTTTCTGAGTGGTGTGTGGGTGGGGCAAGGCAAGCCTGGAGCCTGCTTGGGGCTCCCTGCTGCATCCACAGGCCGGATCCAGTGGCTTGATGGGCTAGATACAGCCTGGGAGCTGTATTTTGCCCAGCCCTGGCTAAGCAAACCAAGTTTTGGCAATCAGAAGACCCACTGTTGTTTCAAGTCTCCAAAGCTTTTTTGTGTTTACATGGCTGTGATGTACTTAATTGTCACTATGCCAGCCTCAGACATACACAAATTAACACATCAGTATGAATAATTCACTTTGCTAGTAAAAAAAAACGTGAAGACCAATAACGCTCTGTACCACAGTGTAGTCTGATCAAATACCTATTCTTTTAAAGCAGGGAAAACTGCAGGAGGGAAATAAGGCTGATAAAAGCTTTGTGGTGGATTGACAACAATTCAATGGTGTTTACTTAGCTCTTGTTTTTCATAAACACATTTTTAATTTTGTAAGACCCATGAAAAATGCCTGTATATTGAGTAACTTTCAGCAAGAGATGAATAACCAGCTAGACGTAAAAACAATGAAGAGACTTGTTGTACCTTAGAGACTAACAGATTTGTTATGTTAGGAGCTTTGGTGGGTAAAACCCACTTCATCAGATCAGTTAGAGTAAAAATTACCGAATCCAAGGTGTGTGTATATATATATATATATATATATATAAAAAAGAGCAAAAGAAGTTTCTGTTAATTTTAGGACCAGCATTAATGAGTCTAATTAAGTCAGGGTGGATGTGTTTCATTCACAGCATTTGATGTGATATGAATATCACAAGGCAAAAAATTGCCTTTATAGTGCATTAACCAGTTAAGATGGATGTATACAGTATTGCTATTAGGGACATTAGTGTATAGTCAACTAAATAATTAACCTATAATCCTATTGACTACATGCACTCCCCTGTCCCTTGCTGCCTCTGTTTTAGAGGCAGCAAGGGAGGGAAGTGGGAACCGGTGCCTGTGAGGACTGGATTTAAGCAGGCTCCCCACAAGCACCGGATCTGCAGTATGGAGGGTGATGGTGGCAGGCAGGAGCCTATATGTGTGGGGAGCTGGCTTTTAAACCAGCTTCCAACATACATCAGCTCCCAGAGACCTGCTTGCTCACTGTTGCTGCCTCCTATAGCTCCCCCGGGCCCCCTCCTTCCCCCCACTCAGTCCTGGCTTGTGACAGGTCGAGGCCCTACCACTGCTGCGGCTCTGCATCTGAAGTATATTAGGAGTCAGGCGGGCAGGCAACCCAGCTCAGTTCTGGCTCGTGCTGGGTCTAGGAGCTCAGATCCCCTGCAGATAGGGGCTGCTGCCACCCCGTACTGCTACCTCTGGATCAGCAGTGTTCACTGGCTGCTGGCCCTGCCCACAGGGACTATTGAATATTTCATATTTCATCATTTCACTAACATTTCATGTGGTTACATAACTAGTCAATTACACGATATCTAACAGCACTAATTGCTATAGCTGTAAGTACCAGAATATAAGAAAGACAAAGTGTTTGAGGTAATGTATTTTATTGGATCATCTTCTATTAGTGTGAGAGACAAGCCTTCGAGCTTATACAGGCAAGAACAACTGTTCAATCTTGAAAGCTAGTCTCCCTCACCAATAGAAATTGGTTCATTAAAAGATATTACCTCACCTATCTTCCCCAACTAGTTGAAAAGCACATAATAGCTACTGTATATTTAAGAGAGTTTGTGTATCTGTCTGCTTGTTCACAAACTTCTCCTAAATGGTAAGAGCTAGGACACTAAATTCGGTAAACAGCTTCCTCTTCTCATAACTTAAAGTAAGGTCAGGGTTTTGTTGAGCCAGGAATATGGAACGTTGCTGGAATGGGATTGCTTCTCATAAAACCACATAGAAAAGAGACAGAATCACAAGACAGGCGAAAGGGGCTGGCTTGGCATGCAACCTTCCCCTCCCCCATCCGGGACTGCCCGAGCCCCAAGTTTCCCATGCCCCAGGTGCTCTTTATGGAGTGTCAGGGCTGAAGCGTCCCACTCCCAAATTCATACGGGAACATTACTGGCTGTTCCCATCCGTCAGACAGTGAGGGGAAGGTGCACATTTTGCTGCATTCCTCACTATGGCTGGAGAGCACAGTAGCAGACGAATCTGGACTTGCTCTGGGTAGAGGACATGCACCTTTGGCTGTGCCCGCTGGAACTGCAGCAGCCATGGAGAGATGCTTCTCACCTGACCCCAAGCTGCTGCGGTGAAAGAGGGCTGAGACAATTCTCTCTTCCCAGGGCACTTTCCATACTGAACCCCTCATCCAGTTCCAGCACAGAGGGGTCAACAAACATATGGACAAGAGAAATCTAGTAGATATGATGTACTTAGATTTCCACAGCCTTTGACAAAGTCCCTCGCCAAAATAAAGTTAGTTTTCATGGGATAAGAGGGAAGGTCCTTTCAAGGATTGACAACTGATTAAAAGACAGAGAACAAAAGGTAGGAATAAACTGTCAGTTTCCAGATTGGAGAGAAATAACCAGAGGCTACAGCTACACTGCTGGGGGGGAGGGAGGGAGGGGAGTTGGAAAAAGATATGCAAATCGCACTCACATTTGCATATCTTTTTCCAATTCTTTTTGTGGAAGAGGTTTTGCCGATATTTGGCAAATGTTGGAAAAAAACCCTCTTTTGCAAGACCCTGTAAACCTCGATTTACAAGAAATAAGGGGTCTTGCAAAAAAGGGTTTTTTTCCCCCAACATTTGGCCCTGTCTACACAGGGTCAAATAGCGGCAAAACTTCTTCCGCAAAAAGAATCGGAAGAAAATATGCAAATGAAGCATCACAGAGGGAACGTTGCTTTTGCTGAGGTCTAACCTAGTCAGTAAACTTCTAAACCTTCCCCTTAAATGCCAAAACCACATTCAACCACCACTCTGTACTTGCTCAGCCTGTAGCAGAATTGCTCCTGTGGTTCAGGCTACCTGCGTATGGCTTCATGAGCCATGGGAGCAAGGGGTAGGCTGGGTCGCCAAGGGTCACTATTGGCATTTCCAACTCTCCAATTCCGATTTTCCGGTCTGGGAAAAAAGTTCTAGCATGCGTCTTGCTGAAGAGACAGGAGTTTCTAAAGTTGTGCGCGTCATGCATCCTTCCTGACCATCCCACTCTGATGTCACTGAAACAGCCCTTGTGATCCACCAGTGCCCACAGCACCATCGAGAAGTATTCCTTGCGGTTTATGTACTCCTTGGCAAGGTGGTCAGGGCCAAGATGGGGATGTGTGTTATGGCTATTGCCTTGCGTATATATAAAATCCAGAGTTGCATTAAAAGTTAATAAATAGACCTCATCTTTGGGTTGTACAGGTTTTGGTTTTGGTTTTAATTTTTTTGCTCCAAACCTGCAAAAACATAAGAAAAATGCTTAATTGCAAGCACTGGAAAGCACTAT